GTGTGGTCGTCGTCGTACGTCGTCGTCGTCGTCGTCGTACGTACGTACGTAGTAGTGTGTGTGTGTGTGTGTGTGTGTGTGTGTGTGTGTGTGTGTGTGTGTGTGTGTGTGTGTGTCGTCGCGTACGTCGTCGTCGTCGTACGTACGTCGTACGTACGTGTGTGTGTGTGTGTGTGTGTGTGTGTGTGTGTGTGTGTGTGTGTGTGTGTGTGTGTGTGTGTGTGTGTGTGTGTGTGTGTGTGTGTGTGTGTGTGTGTGTGTGTGTGTGTGTGTGTGTGTGTGTGTGTGTGTGTGTGTGTGTGTGTGTTGTTTGACTCTCCATGTCCTTCTTTGGCAAAGCGACTCTCACACCTTCCCTCCATTCGTTCCTCTTTGTCTCTGCTGTCTCTCACACTTTGGGCTCTTCGTCTTCTCCTCGCCTCCACGTTTCATTTCAATATCTCTGCACGTTATTTTTAAATATTCCTCCTTCTCCAACCTGCTGTTGCTCATAGATATGAATCATTACTTGTTTGATTGAATCTTCTAAAACTGCAGTTGACATTGTGAAACATAAAAGCTGCTTCAAGACCAAACTCTGATGGTTGTTATTCACTTTTTATGAATCAAGTAATTTGGCTTTACGGACTCATTTTAATGACCGTCTGCACCTTTTCACTCTCTGTCTGAAACCAGAGCCCAGTCTGCTCTGATTGGTTAGCTGGCCGGCTCTGTTGTAATTGGTCACCCGCTTAGAGATGTCCCGCCCCTTATCCTATCACGTACAATGTGTTAGAGCGCTAGCCAATAGGAGCATGTGATGTCACTATGTTCCGGAACTTTGGGATTTTCAGCCATTTGCATGCACATATATCACACACTACAGGAAAGGGAAAACTCCATTATGCTGCGTTCACATGCTGTTCGTAAAACCCTTCCTCTCTTGCTTCATCTGCTGAGCGTCGCTTTGTTTACATTCTCCTGGAAGTCAGAGCAGGAAGATGGACGATAAACGTTCGAGCTGCAGCTGTGCAGCGACATGCTTTCAGTCATGGTGGCAGTTTGCAGTCAGGCCACGCTCATTTATGTGGGACTGGAATAATATCTGGCCTATAAACAGACACTAGAATGTTAATGGGCTTTGAAACTGTGTTATTTTGAACAAGCACTTGCTATATTCGTTAACTAGTATTTGGTGCAAGTGCATTAGCAAACTAGAATATGTAGCAGGTCAGGTCATGGTAACAAGTTAGCTAACATGGGCTAATGCCAGTAGTTTAACCACCCTAGCTAAACAATAAGTTGTGTATGTATGTTGTATTTTGTCAGTCAATGTGTGTTGAGTGTTGATTGCAAGCAGACTTGTTTAATTTCCCCATTTAATTCAAGTTGAATCATGTCAATGCATCAGTCATTAGACCTAGCTGACAACACTGAAGCTACGTTGCAGCCAAGTGCTAACTTTTCGGTATTTTCAGAACAACACGAGATAAAAGGGATTCATTGTGTACGCCTGGAAGTTTCGTTAACGTCCGCAATATCTAGTTAAATCTCATTTGTTTGAGGGCTTAGCAAGTGCTCTGTCGAGGAGCAGTATGGAAACTATAATACACGGTCAGTCTGAGGTCTATTTTATCCTGATTCAACACCAGCCTCCCCTCTTTGTGTGCGTGTGCGTGTGCGTGTGTGTGTGTGTGTGTGTGTGTGTGTGTGTGTGTGTGTGTGTGTGTGTGTGTGTGTGTGTGTGTGTGTGTGTGTGTAACCTGAGATGTGTGTGTGTGTGCGTGCTGAGAGGCAGTGGAGTCAGGCAGGCGGGCTCTCAGCGGTCAGTGGTGGGGGTTTCAGGGTCCTCACACTGATGGGAAAGATTCAAAATTCAATATTCTTGTTCTCACATCCACATTAGCTACAACACAGAAAGTCTTTAAGTCCCAGGCTCCTATTACAGCGCAACATACTTTAGATATTGAAAACAAAAGTATGTCTGTATCTCATTCCTCATTTAAACGTGTTTGTCCTAATTGGTAATGAGTTATTTTTTCCTTCCTCGTATTGAAATGGCTTTTCGAGCCCTGGAGGCTTCAAATATACCCTGTATTTTATATTTTATGTAATGTAAATGTTTTGCATTTCCTTCCTCATCTCACCCTCAGATAATTTTGGGACTCTTTGGTGTGTGTTCAAATGTACTTTAGAGTAAATGTAACGAAGGAAAACACATTTAAACTAAAACAACGATATCTATTACTGATGCAACACTTTACATTGCATTACATCGCACTGTATGAAGTAGAGCATGCAACTTGATATTTCAAAATGAAATTATTTCTAAGATTGATATATTTATAAATTTTTTAAGGCTTTTAATTTTGTTCTGTGTTTCGTTTTAAGTCTTATGTAATAAAATATGATTTATGCCCCAACATAGGGTCTAACTTGAGTCAAAATGAATGTCTTTGATCTATATATTTAATCTAAATGTCCTCTCCTCTCTCTCCTCCAGGCCCAGAGGAAGGAGGTGTTCCTGCAGGAGCGATACGGTCACTACAGCCTGACGGACCCCTTCCTGGCTCTGCAGAGGGACTTTGAGTCGGGGGTCCCTGGAGGAGACGCTGAGCGGCGGCCCCTGGGCTCCAGCCCCATCTCCGTGCTGGAGGCCGTCATGGCGCACTGCAGGAAGATGCAGGAGCGCATGTCGGCTCAGCTGGCCGCCGCCGAGAGCCGCCAGAAGAGGGTAAGAGAGAGAGAGAGAGAGAGAGGAAGAGGGTAAGAGAGAGAGAGAGGAGAGGGAAGAGGAATAAATAAGATAAGATACGATAACACTTTAATGAAGTCTGAAATGTGACCTGCATCACAGCAGCTCCATGTGTAACATCAACATGGACAAATATCAAGAAGACACAATGTTTGCGTTGCAGCCTAAAAAGACAAGTCATTGTACATTAGAGAAATTAAAAGACTCGAAATAAACAAGTCGAGTCAAAGTCAACTTTATCGGTAATCTTTCAGTTTGTGTGTACAGACAGAGAGATCGAAATACCGTTTCCCACAACCCCAAATACAAAAACAAATATATATTTAAAAATATGTAAACACCTATTCTTTAGTGCAAGACTGTCCATAGCAGCGTAACAAGTGTCTGGTGCTGGATTTGAGTGTCTGAGTGCGTGGGGTGTTAAATTCAGTGTTAAATTGCTTGAAATCACAGGACAAGATGTTTCTCTCAGCTTTAAACCACTGCTAGAGTCAATGTGTGGGACTCCGGGTAATATTATGAATACAAACATCATTTGGTTGCCTGGGGGGGTTTTCTTGTTTGTGTGTTGAGAGTGGGCACACACATTTCAGATTGAAAAAAGTATGCAACAGTACGTGTCTGTAGACATTTTAATTTGTCTCTTATTTTACACATTTCTCTTTTAGATTTCTGGTGCAGAGAGCAACACGTCTTCTTGCCTTTTTCATACAAAATGAAAGGCAAGAAACGTGTGGTCTTGCAGGATTTAGGGGGTTTCTCTACATGTTTTCATAAAGTCCATATGTGCCGCTTTCTGACAGGCAGGACTAAAGACTTCATGCATGTAGTATTAAAGAGTTACACTTTGTATTTTCTCTGTTTCCAGGTTGTGTGGTGTGAGTGGGAACGGAAAATATGACAGTTTTGTGATAAATGTTCTCATTAAAAATGTGATTTGGATTTTCTCACATTAGTACATTTACATAGTGTTTAAAAGCAAAGCATGCAGTGTGGGAGAATGAATGTCTTTGAGATAGACGTACGGAGTATTCATTTATTGAGGCGCATAAAGAGGCAGATGTTCTTCGACTGCCTCCAAACTCATCTATCATTTCCCATCATCATTAATCCCTTATTGGCTCGTATATCACGCGTTAATCTCTGAGCGGGGGGGGGGGACGACGACGACTCAGCATCAGTTCATAAAGGCTTCATGTTTGAGAGGGAAGGTCTACCTGCTGCTGCTGAGAGAGGAACGACACTCAAACAGGAATATATACTTTATTTAAAGTGGACCTATCATGCTATATTTGAATAATATAGTGTAGGACCATACCTATAAGGCATATATATGCTTTTTATTTTTCAAAATACCAAACAGATCATGCATTTTAGCCATTCCTCATTTCGCTCAATGTAACACTGTCTTTGCATGGGCTGATTCTGTGAGAACAGCACCACCTACAGGCCTGGCATATGTACTACAGCGTCTCCAGCGCTTTCCAACGGCAATGTCCGTGACTGTCTCCTCCTGATTGGTGGAGTTGGCCCAATAGCCGTAGCGCCACTTCTGTGACGTCATAGAAGTGTTCAAATCTGGATCAGTCTGTATCAGATCCGTTGCAGCCCCTTTTTAAGCGATTTGGGTATGGAGGAAAATAGAGAGGGTTGTGTTTTCTGACACTTGGTGAGTTCCCTGGAACACCGGGGACACATGTTCATGTAGAAAAGACGTACAAAAGTGCATTTTGATGATAGGTCCCCTTATGGTGACTTGTTTTTACCTGTTACTTAAACTTTCATTTCAATCGTCCAGGTTAATTTATCAAACATCTAAACTTCTACCCTTTGTTGAGTTGAATGTCAATAACAGATAACAGACATTGTATCAGTGTGGGTACTTTGCCCCGAACCCTACGCCAAGGGACGGGCCCGGAATAACTGGACAGGAGGGCCGTGTGGGTGGAGACACCTATGCACGACGAACCAAGCAGAAAGACGGTCCTACGTCCGGTGTTGCCTCCTCATGTTTTTTTTTCCCGGACCCGAGCGGTCTTCTCACTCCCACCGGGTAACCTAAGTTTTTATTTCACTACACAATCTTTTCAGGTGGCACACCTCGCGCGATAAGTTATTCCTTTTGGTACCGTCCCTACCCGCGGGAAGTCCACGAACAACGTAATCGCACGGAAGTGCTCCGCAATATACGTATCAGTCCCGAAGGACAGCGGAGGTAGGAAGTAGAGCGGACGGTGCGACAGTCAGTCCTGTACACATCTTTTCTTTCGGTCGAGACACACCCAGCGTCCGTAAGACCGACCAGTTATAGAGAGCGATACAAAAGGGTGGGACTAAAAATACAAACCAGCAAGACCGGTCCGGACCCAACCCTTCATCCACCTCATTGTTATGAAACAATGACATGAATCTCATGTAACAAGGCCAAAGTCACTGAAATGGACGTCATGAACAAATGACTGCTGAATAAAGTTGAAGATGTACAACTTGTGGTTTAGGGAAATTAGAAAAAAGATAAGAATGGTACCCAACTTGGGGGTTATCTGGACACTGAAAGATGAAGAAATGTACAACTTGAGTTTATTGGGGACATGAAAGATAAGCAGATGTACAAACTTTGGTCTTTATGGACCATGAAGTGAAGAATTGTACAACTAAGTTCTATGGAACATGAAAGAAATGATAAGAGAATGTAACAAACTGGTTGGAATGCAAGTGAGAATGTAAAACTTGTGTTTATGGACTGAAAATGCAGAATGGTAAAACTTTGAGTTTATGGACTGAAAGATGGAAAGGAGTGTACACCTTGTGTCTTATGGACATGGAAAGATAAGAGTGGTTTAAAGGGGTTTTGTCCGACCAAGGAAATAAAACCTTACAACACAAATCAACCGCCTAGTTACATAGTCAACGTCCATCTCAGAAACGAACGATATCCGATTGGTGCTAGACTAATAGGGTCTGTTAAGTGGTACAGCAAGAGATTCTCGTTCTCCCTGGTTACTCTTGCAACACGTACACACCGCAACCAAGTCCGTCACCACGGCACACGTAACGTGTACGGTGAACCAAGACACTTATACACCCTCACTTCCACACACGACACATCACAACACGACACAATTTCTCTTCTCAAAAGTGTATCTTATGTGTAGAGCGTTCGGGTGAGCATATATGAACTCATATATCATACATATCGTCAGAAGATGATATGGTCTCATAAATTATTGTAGTGCCCTATCATCTTCCGCCTTACTTCGTCGCTTATACTCTACAGCCCTAACGTACAAACACGTCACTAACGTCAGCGTTCATTCCAGAGTCAGAGAGAGACTCTGATACTCCCGAGGTGTCTCCTCCACACAGTCGATGCAGATGGACACTTCCATAAATCATTAACAAAGAATCATTCTTCTCGATATTCATTGGTCCTTAGAGCCGTGACGTCTCGACCACAGTATGTTCTACCGTAGGCTCCTGTTTTCTCCCCGGTCCGCGAAACCCAATATCAACTTGTGCCAGACGTACTTTTGTGGTATCGCTATGAAGATCTGCACAACTTCCAATACTTGTGCCGAGTATGAGGAGTCACCACTCTTCACCTTTGCAGGTCATTTATACTTAATGGATCAGCCGTTTGTTTGTCACCCTGTGTCTTAGGGTGTACATACGAACCAGCGACTCGGGTCGCATTACGAAGGGCACTGCAGTAAGGTGAGGTACCTTTGTAAACTTCAAACGTTATTTATGACAACAGCCGACACAACAAAACGTGAACGCTGCCTTTGCTAGTCGTGACTGCAATTGAAGTCCATGGGATTCCGTAAAACCAACACAGTTGATCTGACTAGGGGGAGATCTTTGGTCTCGGTACCGCTACTAACGGTAGCGATATAACTTCTGATAATCCAACAGATTATTATGACACGAGTAGTAGTCGTAGTAGTAGTCACCCTCCAGGTCACAATTCTATACAGTTCCATAACTTTACGTAAGACGGTCACAATAGACACTCGTATAGTGATCGTTAGGAGGTTTTTCCGCACAGTCCGAGTAGACCCTTTTGATCGACGGTTAGCGGTTCGGCACAAGGGTATTACCACATGTTGAGTACCGTTGGGTGCATTCTTTTTATGTAATTTCTCTACGACATTTTGTGACCAAGACTGGTGCTTCCCAGGGTTTGGGTGTGTTGCCCAGCGGTTTCGGCAGCCTGTAAAACTAAAATGTAAATCATTCATGTTGACATTGCGCTAAATGTTAGGTGCTAATACAAATTCATATTACTATGACTGACTTAACAATAGGAAATTATGAAGATTAATAATTCTTCACGTTTTCCTTGACAACTCTAATTAGATGCAAGTTACAAAACAAAGATATATGTTGTGAGGATAGTTTCCATCGACTTTATTATATAGTCATACCAAGACGTCAAACGCTCTGCGGTAAAAATTATAGAAAATTTCCTTTTACATCGTTACTAGAAAGTCGACGTTTTTTTGTTCCTAGAGAATTAGTGTGAAGTAGTTTCGTTGTACAAGTCTAATTACAAACAGTCGCGAGTGTAGTCGTTGATTTGAGTGGTGTACAAAGAGTCTTACTTCGGAAACATACATGGCGTACCACAAGTAGTCCGAATTGTTGGCGAACTCGGCTTCATGTAAAGAAACTTTAAATCGTAATTGCACAGCTACGCTGGTACAATACATTCGGGTAACTCGTGGACCACTTACTTTTGCACGAAACTAGCAACTGTAAAGCAACATAAGCCGGCTAGTCACACCCTATGCCATACAAGCTACGAGTAGGACTCACTGGTGTTTGACTTTCTAAAACTCTTTTTCTGGGTGCACTGAGATGGTGCTTCTCGAACAGGCCTCGGACTAATAACTGGTAGGCGCCAGTCTTCCACCTCTTCACGGAAGTCGGGTTAGTAGTGTCGTAGTAGTAGTAGTAGTGCTAGTCGGCAGTAGTAG